CCCCCCAAAGCCATCACTCTGCGGATCTTTAACACTGGGAGAACCTGGGGAAAAGTTCACGGTCGTGATCTATGCAAAGTAGATCCAACGTCACGCTCTCGCCTGACCCATTCTCCCTTGTGATTTCGATCTTTATCACTTTCAAGCTTTAGCAACCGACTAAATTACTATTCAGCCTTCGCTCATTTTCGCCGCCAGAAATACATTCTGAATTAAAGTATTTGCGGTGTGTATGTGTGGAAGGGTAGCTTCGCATATACTCCTAGTTACCCTTGAATTTTCCTTATCCCATATATTTTTCTCTCACTTGGTTTATTTTTTCACTTCCTTCTTGGTTTCTGGGGTCAGGGTCGTCGCAGGTGGGTTTCACCTTCCACTCTGAGATTAATAGCCTTGCTTTATTCCAATTTACAAGTTAAGTGTGAGACTGGATTTTTCTTTATTCCCAATGCATTAGGAACTTTTTTTTTTAATCAAATTTATATGGTATTATGAATTGGATAATTTTCATTTCAAAAATTCTCTCAAGCCATTTTTTCATTTTCCCACTCATAACGAAGATAATTTCAATCGAATGAAACATGAAAATTCGTCTTTTAACAAATTAAACCAATGCTTTCACTCGTAATCGATGTAAAAAGTTTAAAAATAGTCCAGTAGCCTGAAACTTTAGGCTGTGATTAGCCGTTGCAACGTTTAACAATGAAAAGTTGAATATTCAGAGTCCGAATGCAGTTTGAAATATCAGGTGTACAAGGGATAATAGCCAATTGCGTGACGGCAGGACGTGAACTGCAGAAACACACAGAGACAAACTCCTACTGCATTGCTAGCTCGCTTGATGAAGAGTTTGTACTGTCTCTGGTTGTTCCACATTCTGGCTGTCCCATTCACTATGAAAAAACAAACGCGACGGAGAAAAAAAAATTTATATTCGTATTTTCACGTCGGAGATAAGCGGTATGTGTATGCAAATGAAAAATCATCAAGATTTTTGCTGCTGATTCTTCCCCCGTTGTCTCTTATTTGTTTTTTTTTCTTCTTTCCATTCTGTATGCATGGAAATTCCAGTGGCTACGACGAGTTGATGGAGATAATAGACTGTGTTCATTTTGCGTACGTGTATTTCTATTTCGTGTCTAATAAATCTTTGGGGATTCTCAGGGGCTTCTTAATTACTGGGTTAAAGTCTATATGTTGAAACGAATGAAGGACTGCGAACAACCCAATTCAGGCGATTAGTTGCGTATTACTATAAATTTTGAAATTTTTCAACACTAATTTTCTAATCACATTCCTAGAATTTCCATGAATTTTTCGTTTCCCCCCAATTACCACTCGCGACTCCCTCGACTCTCCAAATTAAACAATTCCATCCTCGCATTTCCATCTCATCCCAGACAATCAACGGTTTTTACATAAAATTCACATCCCCGAGAAATCCCAATGTGTATCTCTCAATTTATCTCGACTTTAAACATCCATAATACAGCATTCCATGAATACACAGCCCCCAACCCGTCCTCTGTCAATATTTACTCCATTTTGGTCTCCCGAGAAATGCAAACCGGATTCAATTTTTATACCATTTTTATTTTTATATAACAAAACGTTTGGATACTGTTACAGGTTTTAAAATGAAAACAAATTAAATATTAATAAAAAATGTCAATTTTGTTTCTGCCTATATCAACATACAATTTTTTAAAAAATTCTCTGTTCAACCAAGAGTTTGAACATAATAAATTCATGTTTTCGTTAGACTTGCAGAATTTTAAGCTCCATTTTTCTCAAACTTAATTTTACAATTACGATTAATTATCGTACTTACCTATAGAGAGGATTTTCTCAATATTTTGTTCAATAAATTATATTATTTTATTATGCCCTATTATGCTGCACTAATGAGGAACAATCTGTTCCCTCGAATTTCATACATTCTCTCACGATAACGTAAATTCACTTAACGACGAAAATTTCTTCAATTTATATTCAAAATATATAATTTATTAAAGTCACGAGGCTGAGTATGTATTTAGTTGTAATTCACAACTACACTAAACATTCTAAAACTGATTTTCAAAGAATTTCGTCCCAATAAAAATCTTTGAGAAAAGATTTTCCAAATTTTCATTCACTCATTTTTCTTCATTACAATGATGTCCAGGAATTATTAATAATACAAAAAAAAAAGAAAAAAAAATGAAACTATTTGGCAATGTCTTGGACAGCGTTGAATAAATGATAATTCATTCCTAAACTACTCAGTTTGGCGCAACGTAATGTACAAGTTGTTTTAACATTTACATAACATTTGAATCTACTTATTTTCTATGAATTCTCGTGATTGAGTGAAGTAAGAGGTTTACTCTAGTCGTTTTACTTACTCATAAATATTTCAGTTGAAAATCCAGGGAAAACTTCCACATGAAAGCCGTGAGAGAAAATTTTCCATCATCATCATGGCCCTCCGAGGACTTTTGAAAGTCTTCAAAATCAATAAATCAAAAAAATATTCCCCCCTCTTCAAACCGGAAGTTTTTCCTGCCCACTCATCCCCTTAATATTCAGCCCTCTTACTCCCCTCCGAATCACCACTCATCATCAATAAATAGAGACGATCCACCGGAACAATAAAAAAAAAAACCAAACAATAAACTTGCCCTCACAAACCGATAATCAATCGATTACTCATCGACTCGTCAGGATGCTGAGAAGAATTCTTGCAGTCGTTGAACAGTCCTCCGATCAAGCGCACAAAGATCAAAGTCAAATGTCTTCCTGGTTATTTCATACTGGCCAGTGGCAGCAATCACCTGGACAACCCTTTGCAGCTCCTGGTTGTCCTGCAACGTCATAATCTTCTGCTGCAAGTCTTTCAGCTGTGACACATAATCTTCAGAGAAGACAAGGGGTTCATCCCCCTCGGACTCCACCAGCATGTTATTAGTGGAGTCTGGTGCTATTTGTTCAGTTTCAAACGCCTCCTTACTGTGCAAATCATCCTGCTCTTTGACATTACTACTATAATTGGCAGCCATCTCCGCAGCAACTGGAGATTGGCTCGATGAGACTGGCTCAAGAGGTGGTGAGAAGGCTGGATCCTTCTCCCTCTTCGCTGGAACATCGTCATCGCCCTTGCTATCACTCCTCCTCTTCCTCTTCCTGTTATCCTTGTCATCAGACCGGGGCTTCGACTTCTCCCTCTTGACCTTTTCACTTTTAACCTTCCCTGAAGATCCACTCGGTGATACTGGCCTCGTTAATCTCACCTCTGGAACAAGTCTGCTGCTCTCCGGATCATTCTTAACACTAATAACTGGCTTGTGTTCCTCCTCATCACCTGAATTCGAGTCACTGCTGTCTCTGTCCTGTACCTCAGCAAGAAGAGTCGAAAGAGGATTGCTCGCTGGTACTGCTGGAGCCCCATCCTTGTCATAAGACTTTTGTTTATCCTTCTTGTCTCGTTTCTCTCTCTCCCTGCTGTCGTCACTTCTCTCCTTCTTATCCTTCTTCCTGTGTTTGTGCTTCTGACGCTCTTTGTCGACCTTTTGCTCTTTAGGCTTGTCTACCTCAGGACGACTCTTGGAGGAACTTCGTTCGCCATCTTTCGACGGTTTCGGGGACTTTTTAACGTCCTTCTGGGGACGATTCTCCTGGAGTTTTTCTTTCTCCTGCTTCTCTGGCTTCTCATGCTTCTCTGCTTTCTTCTCCACAGGCTTTGGGTCCTTTGATTTCTCCTTATTCTTCTCACGATTCTTCTCCTTTCGCTCTGACTCCTTGTCATCCTTGTGTTTTTTCTTCTTCTTGTCGACTTTCACATCCTCTGGGGGTTTCACTGGCTTCTCCGTGTGCTTCTCACGATCAATTACCGACTTCTTGTGGTCTTTCTCTCGTATTTTTGGAGATGAGGACTTTTGAATGTTGGAGTCGTGAGGACTCAGTTGCTTCTTCGATGCAGGCGACTGCGGCCTCTTGGGGACAGGGCTTTGGTAATCGGGTTTGGGGGGACTCTGGGGCCTCTTCACTTTGTCCTTTGATCTGTCCTTATCTTTCGATGCGTCCTTGTCTTTCTTGTCTTTCTTGTTATCCTCGGTTTTATCTTTCTTGGGATCCTTGTGGGGACTGGACTTTGATTTACTCGATTTCTCGACCTTTTCCGACTTCTCCGGAGGCGTCTTGTGGTGGTTGGTCTTGTCCTGGATTTTTTTCGCCTCTGGAGAGACTTTGTTGCCAGTTTTTATGGGAACTCCGAATAGATGTGCGAATTGATTGGTTGATCGAGGCTCCATTGGACGATGCTTCTTCGCCTCTGCTCCACTCAATTTTGGTTTCCCCGACATTTGAGGTGATACCTTTGATTCACTCTTGTCGTGGGCTTCGTTGGATGTTGGTACAGACACCTGTAAGAATAATTGTAAATCAAAGTAGCTGAATAAAATTCATTAAATGACTGAGATAAAATCATCTTTCTTAAAAAAGCATTAATTTCAATGAAAACATCTCGTGAAATTGTTCACAATAATAAAAGAAATGATGAAAAATATAAATAAATTAGTTACAATAAATAAAATACTTACACCACCACCCTTGAGTAACTTCCTTTTAAAATCATCAGGAGGATTGGTAATAACTTCCGAGTGTCTCATAACATTAGTGATAGCCGGTCCACTGGGTGCCAAGGTAAGATCATACGATATCTCTATCTTCTTGGGTTCATCCTTGTTCTTAAGGTAAATATAAATGGGCAGAACAAAACCAGCGTAACCCGACTCTTTCAGAACATATGGTGCGTCTTTCAATGTTCTCTTGGGCTTGGGAAAGGTCTCGTGTAGTTGAAACACCACTGAAATGACAAAACCCCTGCCATCAGACATTTTGTCGACGATGTAAACATTAATAAAACACGAAACATTAAATTAACACATGCGGTAATTTCCCCTTTCCGGAGGGAAATATTCAACAGTTGTTTTTTTTTTTATTGTACTCGGCGGATATATCTCTGAATTATTAGAGCATTCAGCTTTTTAAACACCTATTTAAATACCTTTTTCAACGTATTGACTTATGTCAGCATTGTCAACGCCACGAACAAACACTTCCCAATCGTGTGTGTAGCCTTCAAGAGTTGTTCTCGGTCTCAACATCGATACATGGCCACATTCTAGAGTTATTCGAATGGCCATTCTTTCCTGCAATGAATAATAGCACAACCGTGAAGAGAAATTTCATCGTAAAATTTATGTCTAGAATCTATTTTTCGGGTGCAATAAATGAAATTGCATGTTGAAAAAAAAAATTGAATTAATGAATGAAAAAATAACGAAACAGTGTAATCAGTGTCGAAATAAATACCCGACAGGCGAAACAGTTGATAAAATAAAAACCACAAAAGTGTTATTTGTAATGAGTATAAAAAAAAACAAACACTTACACAGTAATTATCAATAATGACTGCAAGAGTTCACCAAGAATTGATTGTAGAGCGATAATAGATTATCCGAGTGACAAAAATAAACATAAATAATTTGTTGTTTTCACGTGTCATCTCAATAATCTTGGCGGATTAATAAAAAAATGAGCACAATCGATCGCAAATATCAATTGTCTCAATAGAACTAATAAAACCAATTAACTAGTCTTCATCTTCAAACTCTCCCCTTTCAACTGATTATTCCAGTAATCCAGATATCCCCTCCGAATTAATCTCAACAGTAAATCCGAATTATATTTCTATCAACATGAGTGTCAACGACCACATAAAAATAAAATCACAAAACATGTTATTTCATGTAAATAAGTAACCAGTTTCCCCCATTTAATCCTATCAATTCGCCTACGTATGTTGATATGGCTACCTTACACGAAATGTCCAACGTATATATGTATATGACTACATATTTATGATATCCAAAAAAAAAGGAAGAGGAAAACTTTCATGAATCTGGGTCTTTTGATAGAATAATCCGACCAATGGAGAGTCTTGCATTCCCATTTGCGGCTAAATTCACCTCTCTGGTGATTGGGGAGCCTGTCCTTCGCCATATTTGTTCGTCAAATAAGGAAATCAAAACCCCCCCATTCGTGACTACGTGAGAACTTATTCGAGTCTCAGGGCGGTGGGCTAGACTGGACACTTTCTACCAATTTTTCATCATTTTTTCATGCCCCAACAGCTCATTTTACATAACAATTCACAGCGATTATTTTCTCCATATTTTTGTTTCAATAAAATTCATTTATTCCGGAATGAATAATTGTTTTCATTTACGCAAACATTTTCCCGGAGTTGTTGAAATTATTTGAACAAATGTTTGATGATTGGCCAAAGTTTAGGTTATTTTGCTGCAATATTTACTATTTTCGAGAGCATTGATGCATTATTGGAGCAGCCAATGAGAGTCCACTTTCTTCCAGAGCTGAGCCGTCATCGGCCGTCACCCCCACCACCGCCTCCACTCTGAAGTGTCACCCACAAGCTTGGTTATCCACATGAAAACCTAGGGTTAGTTTCCACGAACATGTGGCGGTTCACCGGCTTCCATCTTGGATTATGTTCGTTTTGAGGAAGCCGGGTGCTCGCTAAATATTAAGAGTTACGTGGTTTACTCCCCAGTGCGTTACAATAATCCCCCCCTCCCCCAGCCCCAACAAAAGTTTAAAACAATTATTGTAAAAATTGCATTTTTAATTTAATCATAAAAATTAATACAATAAGATTACGCTATGCTTCAGGTAAGGGATCCACTTCGGATTTAATTTTTTTTTCTCTTTCACATTTTTTTTCTTTTGATTACTGGACAACCCAAACCCTCGTTGAGGGGGGGAAAAACATGTTAATGCCATTGGATGCTATTTTTTTATTCATCAATTTATCATGTACCAGTGTGTTGTGTCGTTAAAATGCCCGATTAAACGTTCATTAACAAATTTTCTCCCATCAATGATTTGTTGGTTAGTTTGGGGGACATAATTATGAGACCCTGGTGCGTAATCTTGGATTTACTATTGAGGGTTTTATCGCCTTTGCTCTATACACGTCAAGACACGTCCATTAGCTGAGGGCTCTCATCTCGATTTTGATCAGGTTAGGATGTGTCGAGGAGAATGTAATTTTGCAAACGCTCAGGTTTTTGTCGTCGCGAGGTCGTCGTCTAGGCACGCTTCATTAATTTTATTCATCTGCTTTCGAATATTTCGTGGGGGAATTCTAGTGGGCCAGTTACCCATCGACTTTCTCTCATAACCATTAAATAATTTTGTCATCAAAAACAAAAACGTCAGAGCACTGATTGATCAATTAATTAATTTATTTATCTCCAATCGAGATGAGTAAAAGGAAGAAGCTTTATCCGCTGAAATTGTTCAAATGGTTAGAGAGAATTCCCCCTCATTTTGCAAAAGACATTTCCTCCGAAAAAAAAAAAGTAAAATTCATCAATCCCTCGAATTGATAAATAACCGGAGTGGTTGTTACTGAGAATGCCTTCTACCACTGCCACGTTGTTTTTATGTCCCCAGGACTGATCTACCAGTCGTACGTTAGACACTGGATGAACGGATATGCTCGTTTAGATGGTAATCACATGTTCCAAGATAATTGTCGAAATAATAGTCCAATAATCAATAGTGTTAACGATATTAAGAAACACGGTACAGCAATAATGGCATTACCAACTAGATCAAGGGTTTATGCAGATGTTAATTCACATAAACCGAGAGATTACTGGGATTACGAGTCTTACGTGGTTGACTGGGGGTGAGTAAATTTTTTTTCCAATTTTCTCCTTCACTCGTAATAAACCAAAACACTACACAAAGACCATGAGAATTAATTCATCATGAATTGTACAGACAACAAGATGATTATCAATTAGTGAGAAAATTGGGAAGAGGAAAGTACAGTGAAGTATTTGAAGCCATCAATATCACAAATAATGAAAAGTGTGTGGTAAAAATATTGAAGGTAAATAAATAGTCACTAGACTATTGTTTATTTGAATTAAATGCTCGTGTGATTTTATTCTGACGTCTGTTGGGGTAATATTCCAGCCGGTCAAGAAGAAGAAAATCAAAAGGGAGATCAAGATTCTGGAGAATCTCAGGGGTGGCACCAATATCATTACCCTTCAGGCTGTTGTCAAGGACCCAGTCTCACGAACGCCAGCCCTGATATTCGAACACGTGAACAATACAGATTTTAAACAACTCTATCAGACATTAACAGATTACGATATTAGATATTATCTCTATGAGTTACTAAAAGTGAGTGGAGTCAATCAGTTGTTGGGGGATATTGGGGTTGGGAAATTTATCATTATATCATTGATGGTTTATTGAAGGCATTGGACTACTGCCACAGCATGGGAATTATGCACAGAGATGTTAAGCCGCACAATGTCATGATTGATCATGAGAATCGTAAACTTCGTTTGATCGACTGGGGATTAGCTGAATTTTATCATCCTGGCCAGGAATACAATGTTCGAGTTGCATCACGGTATTTCAAGGGACCTGAGCTACTTGTTGATTATCAGGTAATGTGCAAAAAAACTACGTAGACATATTTAAAATTTTCAAGCCCTCAATTTCTATCAATTTCTATCCAATGCTTCCTCTCAATTAAATTGTTTCCTTGTCTAGATGTACGATTACTCACTGGATATGTGGTCACTCGGCTGCATGCTGGCCAGCATGATATTTAGGAAAGAACCGTTCTTTCATGGTCACGATAATTACGATCAATTGGTAAGAATTGCTAAAGTATTGGGCACAGAGGAGCTCTTTGAGTATCTCGACAAGTACCACATTGAGCTTGACCCAAGATTCAATGACATACTTGGACGTCATTCACGCAAACGCTGGGAGCGTTTTGTTCACTCGGAGAATCAGCATCTTGTGTCACCAGAGAGTCTTGATTTTCTTGACAAGCTACTGCGCTACGACCACTACGAAAGACTAACTGCACGAGAAGCAATGGATCACCCTTACTTTTGTGAGTTCAACTTTTTTTTCCCTCATTATACAACTACATGATATTTTTGCTATCAAAAATTATTTGATGACAGTTCAATCTGTATAACCCAATAATTAAGTTGTCCAATAATCATTCCAATTCAATAAGTCATTAACATTAAAAAAAAAACAAATCAAACGTCTTCATTTTACCAGACTCTAAAAATTTGCTATTGAAAATTGTTCAATGTTCTTTCAGACCCAATAGTGAAAGATCAGGGTCGATTAAATATGGCTCACGGTTCGTCTTCACCTACTCCCATGGCAGGCTCAATGCCTGTAGGTGAGTAGCGACTCAGGTAATGTCACCACCATTCACCCTAACTCATAAACTTACGCTCATTGACCGGAAAAACCTTCACCATGAGAAATAAAACCCGCACATTGCAGGTGTCCATAGCGTGACACTGAACTCGTTGCCAGCTCCTGTATCGGCTGGACAGGAAAATACAAGTGGAGTAGCCAGCGGCGTGGGCCTCTTAGATGAGCTTTCTTCAATTCAGCCGATACCACAGCTCTCAAAAGTTCAACATTAGTCAAAGACGAAAAAAAAAAACGTTGAGGTCGAAAATAATGAATTTAAGGTTTAAAGTAAATGAGATGGAAAAAAATCGTATGAATAACATAATGAAAAAAAAAATGAAACAAAAACATCCAACCATGATTTTCAGTACATTATTATAATACAGATACATTATACCATCTGAGAGCAAAAGAAAAATCGTTAAAAAGTAAATTTCACACAATTATTTGTTCTTAACGGCATTCCGACGTTACAAATTCTCGACGGCAACGATTCTTTTAATTAAGACTGAAAAAATATTTCGTCATAATTGTTTTTTCATGATTTAATTCCAACTTTTTTGGGCATCGAGATTAATTTAATTACAGCGTACTTAGGCGTATCCGTAATATTCGTATCTGAAAATAATTATGTTCATTTTTTCTTCTTTCATTTTGAAGGAATAATGTGTTGCGTTTATTTTTTCAAATAATCGTCGTGCGTCTTTGTATATGAAAAAAGATTAAATCAATACTGAAACATATTGAATCTGTTATTAAATGTAATAAGGAGATAATCACTTTTGAACAATTTTTCCACATATTCAGATGTTTTTTGGGGATAACTCATGTGGATAGAATCAGAGATAATGCCTTCTCACCCACCCTCGCATCTCTCATTTACCCAGAGAAGATAACCTTTTTTTACACGAAACAATAGTTTATCACTAAAGCATTCATCTCCTCATTTTATTTAATGAAGAAGAAAAAAAAGAAACTATAAATCATTCTAGATTGTGAATTTGATACCGATGTTCCTGTATCTGTTACTGTACAATCGATAATAATGCCGTTTTTATTTTCTGTACGATCATAGATGATAATACAGTTTTCGCTATTAAAATTGACCAAGGGGGAAAAAATAAAAAAGCAAAAAAAATGAGTAACAATTAATTAGCAATGAAAAATGAACAAAAATCCATAGGATAAGTGTGCGCAAGCAGAGAGGAAATGTGAAAAATGAAACGAAGAGTCTTATTCACTCGTCATCTGTACACTGAGAGAAAAACGACAAAGTCCTCAAACAAGTCTTACTTGTGCCAAGACAATAGTTTTTTGAAAATTATCAAAAAAGGATTTCTAGCACTACTCCTCCGTTATTCGATACTTTGAAATGAGGGATAGTAGTTTTTCATTTCGGGTAGCAAATAATCACAGAATTATCCGTAATTATTCATATTTGAGACTTTCAAATTCAAACCAAACAAATTCTCTTTTGGCAATTTTCAACTAGCGATTTTCTTGGCCCAAAAAAGACTTTTTTGACAATGTGTTTGTTTTTCTCTCAGTGGATCATGTATAGACAGATAAGAACAGAAATAAAAAGAAGAACAAAATATTAGTGGAGAGACTTCATTTTTTGTTTAGCATATTTAAAATACGGAGTAAAAGGTCTTATTATCTGGAACAAGAAAAGCGAAAAAGTTCGCTGAATAGAAGGATGAAGAAAAAATATTTGTTATAGCCCAACAATTAAATTGCCAATAATCACCCCTTTCTATTTATAATGAAAAAATGCCCTCACTACAATGCAAATTTAAATAAAGAGTAAATGAAGAAAAAACCCAATTGAACAATTCAAAGGAAAACATACACTTGAGATTTTTTTCATTCACAGTTCTCTGGATTAAGTTTTGCAGAGGGAAAAGATTAGTTATTTTTATAATTATTTTTTTCACTTGAAAAAAAAAAACATCTCAGTTATCATGAAAAATCTGAACATTTGTTTCATTAATTATTTAAATTAATTAAATACTGTACATCATTCAATCAAACCACCGAATTTGTGCATAATTTATTTCATGATGAATTTCACTCATTCAGAAAAGAAAATATAAATCCCTAACAAAAGTTGATCATTAAATTACAGATGGAATTACCGAGGCTGATAGTAGTGGAATTCAAAGTCTTAAAGCTATATTTTATTTATAAATGAATGGATTCCAATCAGTGCATCGGCATGCCACCACTGAATGAAACCCTCAATCCCTCCTTATCAATTACAAATTAATAATCCAATTGAGAAAAAAATTGCAGCCTTATTAAACACGATGAACATTGCCATAAAAACCCAAATGTTCGTTCCACTCATTAAGTCCCCATGCTTAATTATCCAGAAACATCTCAATTAAATATCATAACACATTTCCTAAATTTCACTGCTCTCAGAGCTCGAGGTGCTCGTCGTTTTTCTTCTCCCCCTCGTCTTTGGGTGGTTCAGGCTTCTCAGTGGTCGCTGAGTCGACCCCCTGTCCCTCAGTGATGGTCTCCTCTTCACTGTCAATCGTGACACTTTCCTCAGAATCCACAGGACTCGTTGAGTTCCTCGCGGGAGCACTTTCCGTCTGATTATCACTGCCTGACCCCTCAGGGACTTTTTCCTCCACCGTTGGCTTCCAAATTTTGGCCTTATTCACGAGGTACTTGACCTCCCTATCGAGAAGAGCCATCTTATTAGCAATATCCCTGACTTTAAATTTAATTGGCTCGTGAGACTTTGTCTCAGCGACAGTCTTGATCACCGTCTGATGGAACTCGTGAGTGTCATTAATAGTCTTCTCCAAGGTCTCGATCTCGATGGCTGTAAAAATCTTATTCTCCCCACCACTGATATTCTTCATATTATTCAGGAAGAATTTGCTCCCATTCAACATGGTCTCCATGCCTGCGAGGACTTCAGGCCTCTCTCGATGCTCGAAGACCCTCTCATAAAGATCTGAAGTCAATTTTTTGAGATCATTCAATTTCTCCTCGTAGACATCTGCAGACTTGCCAAAGCCATCCTCATACAGCCAGTCTGAGGTGGCGCTACAAGCCTCGTTGATCTTCTCGATTTCTCCAGAGGCAGCAGCAGACTTGTACTCGTCAAACTGCAGATGTTGCTGTGTGTCGATGACGAAGGACTCTAACGTGTTCAGGGCAGTCTCTCTTCGGACCTTCTCAAGATCCTTGAGTTCTAGCTTCTTGATCTTCTCGATGGATTCTTTTAGCTTGGGACCTTGTAGTGCTTGAGGACCATATTTAGTCTCTGAAGATGGAATTGGCTCCTTCAGGATCACCAATGTCACCTTCTTCTCTGATTTGTCAGTTTGGTTCGAGGGTTTGGGCTCTTCTGGTTTAGTTGCGTTCGTCGAGTTCTGTTTTTCCGGGGTCTCTGGGGCTGGTGGAGCCTCTGGCTCCTCACGAACTGGTTTGATGTCCTCCTTTGGTGGTTCCTCCACTTTCTCAGCCTCTGGCTCGTCTGATCCTGAAGACAAATGTTCCATTTTAGTTGTTTTTTTCGTGTTTTCTTTTTTTTTTTTATTGTTAAAGCGGTTAATATCAAACCTGAGAATAATTTGCTAATCGTAGAACCAAGTTTAGAGAAAGTACCCTCGTCTTTTTCAACCGCTGTGGATTTTTCAGAGACTAGTTCGATATTAACGAGCTCTAGCAGGCCACTGTCGTCCATGGCAAAGTGGGCTTTTATTCCTTTACTCTCGGCTCCCTCTTTCTGGTGCTTCTCGAAGGCCTCAGTCACACCGGTCAGAGATACTGTCGACAGGTTGAGGTTTCCAATAGCTCTGCAAATTTATATTTATTTTTACTATCTCCAATCATCTGGATGAATTAAAAGCATTTTAATTCTTCACATTTAACACTCACGGAATTTCATGAGGTGGAATGTGATCCAAGTCAGCATAACCCACCGAGAAATCAAAGTCTCCCTGACGTTTATTGAATGTAATAATTTTCTTCTGAGGATATGCATTCATTTTACTGAAAAGTGTCCTTCGAACCTGGGAAGATAAATTATCAATCAATAATAATCTTACAAAAATTTAGATTACTTTACTCATTTTCAATTTTCAATGAAGATTGGCAAACTTCAATTATTATTTTAAAAGTGTTATAATCACCTGTTTAGACTTCTCCTCGTTCGATTTATCAAAAACAATCTGAATCGGGAACAAAACCCCATCCTTAGTGATAAACTTCTTGACTTTGAAGCCAGAACTGAGATCAGCCGCCTTGTAGACACCCCCCAGTGCAGCAGCCTCGTCAGTATTAATATTCTTCGACAGTTCAGTATTCAGATAGTTTTGCAGCATCTCCTGTATCTTGGGCATTCTGGTGGCAGCCCCAACAAGAATAACATGAGAAACAACACTCATAGTCAACTGTGAAGTGTTCAGAGCCATCTGAATTGGCGCAGTGACTCGCTCCATGACATCGGCAGCCAGTTCCTCGAGCTTCTCCCTCGTCACCTGGAGTTTGAAGTCCTGTTCATCGAGGAGTCCCTCGATCTGTGCGTAATGATCAGCATTGGCACTGAGGACGTTCTTGACCCTTCCAGCCTCCTTGAAGAGTTTCGCCATGGCTCTGGGACTCTCGAAAACTGAGGACTTTGTTTTCTTGAGTTTGTCAAATTCCTCAGCCAGGTGCTGCTGCAGTCTTGTTTGGACTTCAAGACCCCCAAGAGTCCTGTCGTAGCCCACACCTAGGATGCTGACTTGTGGGTGAGTCTCGACGTATCCTCTCTCCTTTGTTTTGACGTTCTGATAACTGACGACTGTCGCTGTTGTGGAACTCGCCCCCATGTCGTAGAACATGATGTATTGGGTGGTGTCATTGAACTCGTTTCTGTGGAAGATTCCGTAGTTTAATGCCACTGCAGTGTAATCGTTGATGAGTTGAAGGACTTTGATGTCAGCCAGCTCTGCTGCCTGGATCATCGCCCTCCTCTCAGCCTGGTTGAAGAAGCCAGGCACTGTTATCACTGCTTCCTTGATCTTCTGACCTGCAGAATTCTCGGCCATCTCCTTGGCTTTATGCAGCAGTTGAGCTAGGAGCTCTTCTGGAGTGAAGATCGTTCCATCGTCCATCCTGAAGCCTATCGTATTGCGCTCCACGTCGGCGATTATCTCGTGGTAGGGGAATCGCTTCTGGTAGAGGGAGACTATTGGATTATCTATGGACTTCCCCAGGAGGTCCAGTATGTAGGAGAAACTGTTTTTCGGAAAACGAATGCCCACTCCTTGGGCGTCTTCTCCGAAGAAACGCTCGTCTTCGCGGAATGCTATCACTGCTGGGGTTTTTCTTTTTGATTCTTTGTTTAGGGCTATCTCCATTGGCACTCCAGGCTGAAATTTAAACGTAAATCGTTGTCAGAGAATACAAAATACCCAAAACGTCTGTACAAAATTGTCGGTCAATCTCCAGAATTGAAAAATTATAAAAACAAAACTCAATATCTGCTGACTAAACGATGGGATTCGAACAAATAAAGCACTTCATAATGAGGTCAAATTTTTCAAATTTCACACTGTCATTTTGCAATTCTCCATCGTTTTGTCATTCTGCCACTGAATTAACTCAAATTTTTAGCTCTTTAGTTGAATAATGATCGTTAAAGATGATAAACTACCGTTTATACAAGAATTCTCAACAAAAAAAAATTATAGAACACCGTCAACCTGGCAGAAAGATATTAGAATTCTCTCAGAGAATTTTTGTTTTCAAGGAATTCAAATCTGGTAAAAATAAAATTTTATGAAAGACCATATTTACCGAAACAATGGCAACTTTCATCCATTCACTTCCGATATCAACACTCATAACGGCAAGTCCATTGGCACCTCCGAGGTACAAAAAACCGAGCAATATGCTTAGCCCCAGCACAACTAAATTCCGAGTCATTTTGGCGCAATTGTATGTACAAAATACAAAAATTCAATTTAAAAAATAAACAATGTATTTCGGAGCGAGAGTCGACTGATGAGCAGTTGTCAACCTCCAACACGACACCAGAAACTTCTATTTGTTGGTTAAACCAATGAATTCTCAGTAGAAAAAGTTTGATTCTCGTATTACACTGTCCTGACACTGAGCCTTGATTAATCAACCCGTGGCTGACATGCACGCAATCAGAGTACTGTTGCTCTAGACATATTCGTATATTAAACGTGAATTATAGTTTTAAAAAAACACAATGTAAACTGTCGAACGACGTGCCGGCAACATGGATTGTCTCTTTTGATTGCTTTTGATCTCTCGTGTGGCAGCATTTGGTTGGCCTGAATGGGCGCTTTAACTCGTGCCTCATTGGTCCGCGTTGTCCAATGGGCATCACAGAAACTTCCGGAATATTGGGATTACTAAGAGACATTGAAAATTAGACTTTAGCTTCTTCTAAACCCCTAAAATATTTTTTTTCCAATCATTAACTTGAAAAAAACAATTTGATTTTTATTTCTCATGAATGAAAAAGTCTTTATATTGATGAATAAATTAATTACCTATATAACCCATTAATTTTCATTAATCTTAACAAGTAATTTGATTTTTACCAAACAGAGTGAGCTGTTCTTTGATCAAAACAGGGGGGAGTCGTTCGTACAATCTCAGATGAAGGCATTCTGATTTGGAAATTTGTGGTCACATTCGCGGATATTTGCAGATGTCTTCTTGCATTTCAAACTCTCACCGGAAGTGCTCACCTGCCGTCGCCCATTGAGAATCTTCCAGAAACATCCGGTTAACCAATAAAAATGTGTTGGTGCGTGATGCTGATCATGGTAAAACGATGGCCGCCTCATGCGGCACTCGTGAACCAGTGTTTTTCATTATTTTCTAACTTTTTCAATTCCCAAAGTGCTTGTCATCAAATAGAATAATCATGTATCGTCTGATAAAAGCCCAGAGAGTGTCTCTCAAGAACGCATACACCGGTCCCCTGCATATTTATACTGAGACAACTGATAAATTGTGCTCATTTTGCCATGTTCATCACTCCAAAGTGCCGAGGAGTAAGTTCTTATTGTTAATTGCATGAGTATTATTCAATCTTTACTCAATCTTTAGATCAATACAATTGATAATTTAGCACAATTTTTAGGATATTGTTATATAATGAAGAGATAGGTGGACGTCAATACAGTCATTAATGTTTATTTTTATCCTGAGGAGTATTGTTGATATTATTAAATTAAATTCTGTTATTGCCTGGGATACATCTTTAGTTTATGATATCCACTCCAATTTTTTGTTCAATATAAATCAGATTCGATGTTTCGTTTGAATGAGAATTGGATTCAATCGGTCGTAATTAATTTAAAGATTTATTTTAATGAATTTCCCTGCAGATCTAACATTTTTCCAAGTTCGACATCAGACGACGACAACAAGCACCGCAATATTACCAATAGTAAAAAAACTAAAGCGTAAACCCCAGAAATATGCTGAACTATTAGAAGGTAATGCCCCGTCATAATTCCCCCCCAATTGCAATGTTTTTAATTACCTCATCATTATGGTTTCTAGTCAGGGATAATCTAACAAGCAATCGTCGAGCATCAGTGCGAACATTGAACGCCTCCCACCTGTCCCTCCTGATGAGAGAGCCCGACATAACACTAGACAAGCTCCACAGAATGAAACGAACAAACTTACTGAACATTTCAAATGCTAAAATAAATACAGATAGTAATCAAGAGGGTACTCAGAAGCTGCTGGACCTGCAGGCCCCGTCTCTAATCGAGGATTCCTTGAGAATGAACGCAGAGACCCACAAGCTTGGAATGACAGTGCTGGACGATCTGGAGACGTCTGAGATCTCCGGGATATCAGACACAGCTTCGATAATAAAGAATCGATCACTGTTGAACTCAATTCCAGAGGATCAGGCGAAGCAGGACCTGGACGAGGACCCAGACCCCCCAAGGCCCATTCAATATTCCCCAAAATCCACGAAGAAGAAAAAGCTAGATATCGCCGAGGTCGAGCGGCTGAGCCAGGTTCAGGAGCAGGCGAGGAGGGAAAGCCTCGTGAGGACACTGAACGCTTATCTGAGGGTTTGTGTGAGCACAGGAATGTTAGGCAGAGCCTACCACACGATTATGCACTATCGCAAACGTGGGCACAGGTTCAAACAGCCAAAGGTGGCTGACATCACCCTCTGCGACATTCTCCTGCAGTCCTATGCGTCCTCAGGGAATCTCCACAAAGTCCAGGAGTTCCTGAATATAATCAAAGTGGATGGACTGACGCCAACAGCCAAGACGTATGCAGCTGTCTTCGAGTGCATTGGGAAGCGTAATAATCCTAAGTCGGAACTGGCATTCCTGGTCAGCACTCATCAACAGATGAAGAGAGAGAACATCAGTTTTGATGATGTCATTCAACACTCAAAGTCCAGGAAGAAGCAGTATTCCAGTGTGTTGAAGGCGATTAACATGGTGAATCCACAGTTCACGCCGAAACCTGAGTTTGAAGATGAGTCTTATGATTGTCGTCTGTTGAAGGGGATTAGTCCAGATGGGGGAAAACAGAAAAGTCCAGCTGAAAATGTTCTCTCGAAGGATGATATCGAGAGGAGATATTTGCGACAGGTGTGTGAGATTCTATAAAATAATTAATTCGTTACTTGATGGAGGCATAATCTACATTTTATATTTTTTCTTTTATATAATTTATAAATTGTCATGATTATTACAGATGAAGAATGAGATGAACGGTTACGTAGAGATCAAAAGCATCGAAAAATTCGACAATTCAAAGCCAATAGTTCCCTACTACAAGTCCCTAATCTCCGAACTGGAAGAGGAATGGAAAAAAACAGCATCAGCAGCATTCGACAGAGACCTGAAGGCCCTGAAGAGTCGGGAGCACCAGCCAATCCCAAATGCGATGGTCCTCTACCCCTGCCTCTGCGTTCTAGACAAGGAGGAATACGTCAAGGCCATCCTTCGAGAAATCTGGAGACTGGCAGACGGTTCTGAGACGTTCAGCCCCTCGATCTCCTACCTCTGCAAGAACCTCGGAAAATACATAAACGATAAATACGAGATTCTCGAGAGCAAGAACAATGGCTACCTTGAGAGCATGGAGAAGGTCTACTCAAGGTACGGCCAATGGTACATGGACAGAACAGACGGTACCAATAGCAGGACAAGTTGGCAGAGAATAGCATCACAAGTCTGTCGAGACTTGAAACTAGACGTGGAGTGCATCAGGTGGCCTGTGAACCTCCAAGTCTCAGTGGGAAAATTCTTATACCAAATAATCCTCAAGGACATCAAGTTGGACGTCAGTGCAGTGAGACCCTGCAGCAAAACCAAGCACTATCTCCCTGCTTTCTACACATTATTCAGGAATAATAGTCAAAAGTATTTAGTCGAGGAGATAAAGCCTCACCCAATCCTCTCAAAAATCTACAGAGAGTCTCAGCCAGAAACCCTAAAATTCGACACTTCCCTCGTGCCTTCCGAGTGTCCCCCACGTCCGTGGTCATCGGTCCACAGTGGTGGATACCTCGTACTGCGAAGTGACGTCGTCAGAGTCCCAATGTACGCGATGGAGCAGTGGAAACGTCTGGAGGCACTGCCAAAACGTCAACTCTGGCCCTCTTTAGATTGTCTCAATCAGCTGGGCTCCATCCCCTGGACAGTAAACACTGCAATCCTGGATCTAGCTATCAAGATCTTCAGGGATGGAGGATCTGAGAGGCTAAATGTACCCCAGCCCCCCTCAGTCCTATCCCCTGCACCTTTACTCCGGCCTGACTGCAGTGAAAGTGAGAGGAAGGCCATTTACAAAGTCAGGATAGACCTGAGGAGGAAGAAGGGGGAGATGTACTCCCTCTGGTGTGACACTTTATACAGACTATCATTGGCCAATCATTTTAGGAATAGAACATTCTGGCTGCCGCATAATATGGATTTCAGGGGGAGAGTCTACCCAGTGCCTCCACATTTAAATCATCTGGGTTCAGACCTGGCTAGATCCATGCTGGTGTTTGCTTTGGGCAAGCCATTGGGTCCAAATGGCCTCGACTGGTTGAAGATTCATTGCATCAATCTGACAGGATTCAAGAAGAGGGAGCCGATCAGCGAGAGACTGAGGTACGCCAATGAGATCCTTGATGAGATTCTAGACAGTGCTGAAAGGCCATTAGATGGGGAGATGTGGTGGGCGATGTCTGACGAACCCTGGCAGACCCTGGCTGCCTGCATAGAGATATCCAATGCTTTGAAGTCTCCGAACCCTGAGGAGTACGTCTGCAGGTTTCCAATCCATCAGGATGGCAGTTGCAATGGTCTCCAGCATTATGCTGCCCTTGGGAGGGATCAAATTGGTGCTGAGAGTGTTAATCTCCATCCCAGTCCTGTCCCCCAGGATGTCTACTCGACTGTCGCTGCGATGGTGGACGACATCAGGAGGAGGGATGCCAGCAATGGGGTGCAGGTTGCACAGATTCTCGAGGGCTTCGTCAAGAGGAAGGTCATCAAGCAAACCGTGATGACTACAGTGTACGGGGTGACCAAGTTTGGAGCGAGGCTGCAGATCGCCAGGCAGTTGAAGGACCTCGACGAGTTTCCCCAAGAGTTCGTCTGGAGTGCCAGTTTGTATCTTGCTCAGAAGACTTTTGAGAGCTTGAGGTCCATGTTCGATAGTGCCAGGCAGATTCAGGACTGGTTCACTGACTGTGCCAAGGTCATCTCGATCATGAAGGGGAAAAATATGGAGTGGGTGACACCACTGGGACTTCCAGTGGTTCAACCGTACAGCAAGATCAATCCGGCAAGGGGAGGGCTGATGGAAGTTGCTATGGACACTTACGAAAAACCAAACACCACAAAACAAAAAAATGCTTTTGCCCCCAACTTTGTTCACTCATTGGACTCCTGTCACATGATGTTGACGAGTTTACACTGTGAGTACGAGGGAATTACATTCGTATCGGTGCACGATTGCTACTGGACTCATCCTTGTACGGTGGAGGTCATGAATAAAGTTTGCAGAGAGCAATTTGTTGCTCTCCATTCGGAGCCCATCCTCGAAGATCTGTCCGACTTCTTTGTGAAACATTACATCGAACAACATAATGAGGATGCAGAAAAGACAAAGGACCTCGAATCCGCACTCTCGACGAGAAAATTAATGCATACGCTGACATCTCTACCGAAGAAGGGTGTTTTCGATCTTCACAGTGTTCTAAAATCCACTTACTTCTTTAGTTAATTGATAACGAACAGTAGGAATCAGTGAATTTTGTGATAAAGGTGAATGCAAATGCTTTATCATTAAAGCAACTCGCTATAATTTTTATTCCAATATTCCTCATGCTTATGTTTCTTAATTTATTCATCTCATTACCTGTCACTGATGATTCATGACCTCCTGTTGTGGCTATGGATGAAATATTCTCACTGACAACTAATTTCAAATTCTCTCTTATTGCAGATCCAAATGAACGAGGTTGCTTGAATAGCCAGTGAAACTGTATTATATCAATCGTGTACATATTATGTACTGCATAATTTAATAATGTAACATGGTTTATTGTTATTATTAAAGGATAGAAGATTTCAAAAGGCTGTCTCTTTATTTTTACCTTTATTTGATGATAATTTTTACATCCATCATAAATTAACAAAAGCATAGGATTGTTACGCGATTATGAATTGCAATAGCAAAGCTCTCCAGAGCATTGCCCACCATACCAATATGCTCGAAAGAGGCAATGAACGGCACAACCAAAATTACCGAGAAAACAACTCGTAGCTGGAATGTAAAAATTATTTTTTAAGGGTCACTGACAATTAATTTGAAAAATATATTGATTGATTGACAATGAGAGATGAAAATACCTGAAGTGGAAGCCGACATTGCCAGAAGTAAAACGAAACTATAAAGTTGGTTCATCTTACACAGCTATTGTTCTTTCTCCTCAATTTGTAAATGTGCACTGGATAACGAAGTGGTTGCAACTAGGCCTTAAGTAGGAGTATTATCTATGCACTGGCGGACGTATCGAATTTTCCAATACGTAACTACGTAGTACCCCTGTTTATCTACAATAACTTCATAGTATGTTAAAAACTCATATCTTGTCGCATTATTTGCATTTCTGCAGCTGAGGAGCTAATTAAGATAGTGATTTGCGACGGGTGTCGTTGAATTCCTGAGGAAAAACATCGTCGCTATTTTGTGAACAAAAAATGATACATTTCATCATAACACGGAAAAATTTCATGGAGAAATCTAGCAAATTAGTTATAAAATAGTATTGAACTTCTATTGAAATTCTTTACTGTACGTTTTTTTAAACAATAAATATATTTTCCAAGTTATTCCCATTCTATTTTTCTTCTGTTTTTCATTTAAAAAATCATGCAAGAGAAAAAAAACTGATAAAGAGGTCAATGCAAATCCAATAGAATTTTCTTGCGTGCGTGAACGCATCCCTGAAAACAATTACAAATAATAAGCTGTGAAAAAGTGATATTCGAATGTCGAGACAAGTCGGTTAATTTGCGTTGAACACTCTATCAATATCCTTGAAAGGCTATTCGATGACACTTGCTGAGTCAGTAGCGCGGCGTAGTGCCGGCATCTTCAAAGTTTAATATCCGAATAACCGCGTCACTCAATTCACCCAACTCAAGTATATTATATACATCATACACTATCGCCCTAATATTCAATCGCCCCCTTCACCACCGAAGGAAAGTCAAGAGTCATGTTCTCCTCAGAAATTTCATTTGACACTTTCATTGAAATTGAAACATTCTCAACGAGATCACGCTGAATCAATCAATAAACCACAACTATTTAATTCCGAAATTAATTTAATGACAATTTATTTAGGGACTTTTAACTCCCATTCATTCACACTCAAACGATCTCCATTGGGTTAATTTTAATTACATGGTAATTCACTGGTGCACTGATTCTCATCAGGACGAGTCGGTGAGGGAGTCGCATGGGGGGGACACGCACGCGGTTACCGAATCAGTAGAAGGGCGTAACAATGTATTATATGCCGACCTGACAACCCCTACTGTAAACCGCAAAACCCCTTTAACCCATCCCCATCCCTCCATTCATCCCCAACGATTTGTTAACTGCTATTAAATTGACTTTAGTTGGTGTTGTCTATTGTTTAATCCATTTCAAGTATCAAGAATCAACTCAACTCGATATTCAGGAAAAAACGCTCGTTGTTGGGTCGTAGAGATCCAACAGAACAATACTAATTACAGAATCAAATTAATTGTACAAACATTTAATAATGAATTTAATTAGTTATCTTACAGTTTTATTTATCACGAGTGTTTCATACCAAATTCATGTATTTCAAAGTAATTTTCGAATGAATGAAAATATAAAAACCGCTACATCCGTAAAGTGTTATCGCACAAAAAAGACCGGGAAATTTTTCGCTGAATCAGAAAGAGACGATCCGGCGAGCCCCAGTAGTTCTCAAAATACTGGAAAAATGAATTCAAATGAATGAAAAATTTTCCATCTGCCCCTCAGGAGCCTCTGGGGCAAAACAGTTCGGTCCTTTTTCATGTTCCACGTGAGATTTCCCCCTCGAATTAATTTGTTTCACATAAATTCTGCCATGAATCAAAATAGAAACTCCCCCCGGATCATAACTCAATGAATAAAAAGCCCTGGGAACATAACCCGACAATGTCAAAGTATCCGTAAGTGCGATTGATAGGGTCAGATTGACTTTGGGGTAAAGTATTTTAAAGTCCGTGGGGGTTCAATGTGCCGCGAAATGTGGCAAGCAGACGGCATCAGGTCCTGTTAGACTGCTCACCCCCCAACCCCTCGTTCTCTCGGAATCCGATGAGCCCAGTGGAGAGATCCGGGTGTGTATTCCCGAAAGTCTCCGGAAAAAGCTGTTCCAACCCCTATGATACAGATGCCATATAGGGCTCATACAAATCCCCAAGAAACTCTTCATATCTATAACCTCCGTCTTTTCCGACGATATAACTCGGGTAACTGAGAAAAAAAAAAAAGAACGGTTATACTTTTGAACAATTCAACGCTCAAAAATACCCTCATGGCTGGTGTCCCATTCACGTCAGGGGGGTGGGGTGAATAGGGGTGAGCAAATTGCCACCGATGCCACCATGAGATTTGTGTTACAATAACGTCACGCTTTGAACGATAAGTGTGAGCGATATTTTTTGAATTTCGCGATAAAAATATCGAGTTTTATTCCTTTTATTCATTTACATTTTTACATTTGTCATGATTGAATGTATTTAATTGCGAGTTTGCGGTATAAGAGAATTTTCTTCCCTAGGAGAAACGATATTTATTCATGATTCATAATTCGAGGGATTGAAAAAGCGCATGAGAATCAGTTGATACGAGCGCTTCATTGAGATGTGGTACATGAGAAGGAATAGACATAGGGGTTGGGTTCACGGGGGAGAAGTTTATGGGGGCATCGAATATATTTCCTGATTGAGCGGACTAATCCGCGCTAAGGAGTATTACCGTCAAGTATATTCGTATGTATGAAGCCAGCCAAGGATTCTCTCATTCCAAATATGATATTCAGTTTTATCGAGTATTTTCATTACTACTATTTTCCCCTCTTCCGGGATGATTTTTCAATCTTTGTATATTCACTCGTGCGATTTCTCTCTTCTATTCTACATAATTGTTGTCGTCTTGATTGTTACTATTTATTTTGGAGAGTTGTGCGTTCTCTTCTTTTATAACAAAAATATTGTGACCCGCGCAAGGACCTGAGGATTTTTCGTACACGGCATGGGCGGATCGACTCTCGATCTTTTAATCGTAACTTGCGGCAGGCAATCCGGCAATGCACGCCAAATCTATTTTTATTGTCCCCGAGATAGCATGGCTCCTTTCACCGTATTTATTGCTAGAGGGAAACGAACAAAAAAAAGAGAGAAATGGGGAGAGCGCGATATCGACTCCCTTTGACTACATCTTTTATACTGTTTTTTGATTTTATGAAGTCAATCGTTTACGAAAATCAAAAGCACCAAAATTCATCGCAGAATAAAATCACTAATTTTGTATGACTTGATGTCGACTAATAATTTAAAAAAAAAACAATCCAAGGATTTTTATTCAAAAAAATTTAATAATTAAAATAATTTCTCGCGTTGTTTTTAAAAAATACTATCAAACAGATTTTAATACTCCGTGATTTTCGTCACTATAATGTAGAATATTCCGTAAAGCATGTGCAGTGGAGTCTGGAGCATACGCCGAAGAATGAATATTCAAGAGTAAACACTGGTTTAATGCCTCTGTGAGTTACCGGGATCGTTTGGTAAAACCGAGAGAATGCACAGAGGGGTGGAGAGAGGGGCTACGTAAAAGGGTTGCACACGAATTTTCGTCGAGTGCCTCCAGTACGTTTCTAACGTTGTCGTCTCCCCCGAGCACACGTACGCACACATATAAATATTAAGTACACAGCCAGGGAGCCCCCTGCCCCGCTGGCCCTCGTCCCTGAATTTTCATAGTTCAGTTGTTTACGATATTACATCTGTAGTATCCGGTCAAAGTGACCAGCGTCCACCCCGAGGGGCTGTTTTAACCCTACATACTCTAATCTCATGTGCGCCGGCACGGTGACACCCTCGTTACCCAGATACAGCACGTTGAATGTACCTCGTGATCATTATAATACGATACTTGTTTGTCTTTCTGGGGACGAGGTGTTGCACTTGATTTTTTTGGGAGGGAAATGAGAATTAAAAATTAATTCTGGGGATGTTAATTTTTAATTTTAAAAAATCAAGAATATTATATTTAATGAGATTTCTCATTGTTTGAAAGAGTAGAAAATCGAAAGATATTTGAAAGATAAGGAATTTCATGCAAAATTTCTAGGGGAAATTATTGAATCGTTTTTTATTTAGAATGAAATAAGTTTCACAAACTGCATTCACGATGACATATTTGAAAACCCACATATCGTTATGGTTAATTTGAGAAAAAATTCAAGAGTAAATTTGCATCGAGTCGACGGTGAGACTGACACTTTCCGCCCTCAGCTATTTATTTTTTTATTCCAAAGATGGGAATATTCGAGGCACGCCGTGGATTTCACGCTTAATTTCGCGCCCATTCGCCATTGAATATTCCTGGATTCTTCAGAGGAATATGCGGGTGCTCAATTCGTCGCGCTTGCGAGGAGGACATGTGATAAAATTGGAAAAATTTTACTTCTGACGTTACAAACGTTACAAACGTTTGAAGATGAGTGGGAGGAATGGGCGATTGACGCGAGTGAAATTAATAGCTTCATTATCAAGTGAATCGAAGAAATCCGGAGCCATATGTTTCCTCAGAGGACTCAACATTTCAATAATTATATGGTTTATCAGGAGAAGCTATAAATCCACAGTGTCCATCCAAGTTCCATCCCCCTTGCAGCCACCCCTGCAAGTTCTGCCCAGTGCTGTGCGCAATGGGGTGGACCCAGTGATATATGTGTTTCCTATAACAGCTAGAATCAAAACAGTATGTAAGTTCGAATCGAGGGGGACACGGACGTTTTTGTTCCCCGGCTATCGTCTTATTCCGGGGCTCGCACGATAGCGGGTAATACTGAGATTCAGGAGACTGAATATTTTCATACTCTTCATTTTCAGTTGCACTGACAACTAGGTCATTAACGAGCATTGGGAAAAAATGAAAGACTGTACGCATTTTATTTATTTTATATTGATATTTTTCATAATAGAATAAAAGTAGAAAATCTTTTATGTAAAATTAGAAGTGTAATTTTTCAAGAGCGCTTTGAATACTTCGTTATTCATAATTCTCATGATATTAGTACAGATGTGCCTTTTATTTAGTCGTTACAAGAGACGCGAGTTTAACACCGAAGGATTTAACGTCGAGTCAGCCGTTTTTCAATGGAGTTATATTATTCCTTGGTCAGTGACCGTATCTCTTGCATTTTTGAGTCATTACTTTAGCACATAACAATGTTG